TTGAAAGAAAAATATTTTATTTTATTCTTCATTAGCAATTACTAATAGGATGTGTGCACCTGTTTTGCACTGCTTTTCTCAAATCTGGTATCAGATTGGACAAGGCCACCCTCAGTTCCTGCTCTACACTGATAAAACCCGTCGCCCCAAGACGCAGCAGAGCCGAGGAGCGTGGCGCCATCTACTGTTGGAACGGCTCATGACTTCGGTGGTTTTCCAGTCTGTTTTGTTTGGTTTTTTGCTTTGAAAATTTACAATCTCACAGATATCCCCCCCGTGAATTTACTGTGGGGAGGGGCAGGGTCTCAGAGCACTTAGAGAACCATGGATTATGTAACAGTGCTGTATAAATTTTGCAATTCCTGATTGTGATAAGTGTACTGTTTCGATGTAGGAGGAAGCCCTTTTTCTAAGAAATTCCAGGTGGAAATATGTATGCATAAAGAAACAGGTCTGAGCTGGGCGAGGTGGCTCACCTGGAATCCCAGCTCTCCGAGAGGTTGAGGAAGGAGGATCACAAGTTCAAGGCCAGCCTGGGCAATTTAGAGACTTAGGGAGACCCTGTTTCAAAAAAAAAAAAAAAAAAAACAATTAAAAGGCTGGGGATGTAGTTCAATCCCCAGTACTATTAAGAAAAAAAAAGTCTGGGGCCCGGGATTTAGCTCAGTGGTTCTGCCGCCTGCCTCGTAAGCACAAGGTCCCAAGTTCAATCCCCGGTACCCAAAAAAACAAAAAGTCTGCAAATAAATCTCAAATGGTTCAGAAAAAGTGTGCATAAGTGAGCACAACTGATATTGTAAATGGGACCAGATGTTAATAGCTGATGAATCTGGAAAGGTATATAAGGTTTTTTGGTACTGTAGTTAAAACTTTTGTGTGAAATTGTTTCAAAATAAAGAGTTTTGAAAGATGAAATGGAATACTCAAGGCACATAAACAAATGTGTTTACATAATTTTAAATGCCTAGAAATTAAAAGCACTGATTCAGAGAGCTGCAGCATTTTGTAGAGGAGGAACGTATGGGGGAAGGGGACACATAGTATCAGTGACATTTTATTTCTTAAGCTGAGTGCCAGATACATGGGGATTTTCATGTTAGCCAAAATATTTCAAACTTCACTTCTTACAATATGTAGAATCTTTCCCAATGCATAAAAATATAAGATACAAGTAACCGAAAGCCTATTGCTACTGTTTGTTGGGAGAATGCTACGCTCCACATTTATGGATTCAACCAATCAGAAATATTTGGGAAAAAATTGTCTCTGTACTGAACACATTCAGATTTTTTCTTGTCAATATTCCCCAAACAATACAGTTTAATAATCATTTATGTAACATTTACATTTTATAAGTAATCTAGAGGTGATTTAGAGTACATGGGAGGTTATATGCAAATGCGTTGCCACCTTATAGGAGACCTGAGCACCCTCAGCTTTGTATACCTGTAGGGGACCCTGGATCCAGGCTGCTGAGGGCACCGAGTCATGACTGGACTTCACGCACATTATCTCCTGCTGTCCTTGCCACCGCCACACCCATCATAAAGTACAACAGGGCTGGCTCCTGACCTCTCCCTTACACTATCTTTCCGGACAGTAGTAAAGCATCTAATTCATGCTGCTCTTTCTGGTTTTATACTCAGGGACTGGAAAAGAAGGCCAATTTTCTTGCTTTTTCAATTCCAAAACTAATTAAATGCATCCAGTGGAACATGTGGCTATACATATTAAAATACCAAAAACATCAATAAGAAAAAATGGTGATAAATTTTATTCTTTGCATCTTTTTATTTTTTTTTAGTACCAGGGATCAAATTCCAGACCTTGTGTTTTGAGACAGGCCATGGAATCACTGAGCTAAATCCCCAGCTGGCACCTTTTTATTGCTATGTTGCCCAGGCTACTCTCAGACTCCTGGACTCAAGCAATCCTCCTGCCTCAGCCTCACAATTGACCAGGCCTATAGGCATGGGCCACCACACTCAGGTTTTTGCACTTATTTTCAATAGTATCATGCCTAAGTCAGTCTCTAACAAGTGAAGATTTCACATTTTGCAATCACTCTTCCACAGTAACAGTTCTCTTACAGCGTCAAAAGTTAACTATCAAAGAAATAAGATGTTTAGTGATTTATTAAGTCATATTGAGAGATCAGCACCTTGGATTTATGAAACATCATTCTTTTAAGTTTTAAACTATCAAAATTCTAACCAGGACTTATAGTTCCTCTTTTTGAAAAATTTTAGATGTTTCATTATGTTGTATAACTTGTTGATTATGAAAACAATACAGAATAAGCTTTTTTCTTTAAAAATATTTAATGTTTTAAAAGTAAAGTTTGAGCTAGGGACGGAGCTCAGTGGTGCTGTGCCTGCCTGGCAAGTGCAAGGTCCTGAGTTCGATCCCCGGTACTGGAAAAAAACTTTAAAATTTTTAAGTAAATAAAATTAAAGTTTGAAATCTGACTTAAAATAACTACTATGACATTTTGAACCTTTATGCATTGTCTTCCTGCAATGGTGTTTTGAGACAGGGTTTCAATATGTAGCCCAAGCTGGCCTCCAACTTCCTGCAGTCCTCCTGCCTCAGCCTCCCAAGTATTGGGATTATAGGTGTTCGACACCACACTCAGCTCCCGCAATGAATTTAAGATGTTTAAATCTATGTGAGAACAGAAATGATGCCACCTTTGCCTTTGTAATTTGCTGGGAAATTGGCAGCTGTTCTTTCCTGTGACATTAAATAACCATTTGTCAAGTTTTACTTATTTTCTGTAACTGAAGATACTGACTCCAAAAACAAAACAAAACAAAAAGACTGTTCCTTGTCAGACTGACAAAAGTGGTTCTCTTAGAATTCATTATTCTTCTCCCTCATAGGCGGGGTTGTTTGATGTGAGCAGCAGGCAGAGGGGGAACTCAAAAAGCTTACAGCTACAGTTGTACATCACGACAGAGCTGGATGAGACTAAAAGAATCAGGCACAGTATTCTGAGCTTCCTTCCCCCAGATGAGTCAACTAATGCCAAAGCCATTTGTTACATAACAGACAAGGAAAGCCTAAAACTTTCGACTTGACTCCAAACAGACAATTTGGGGCAGAAGGTGGGGGCGCTGGGGATTGAACAGGGCCTAGTGCATGTTAGGCAAGGGCTGTTCCAATGAGCTGTATAACCCCCAGCGCAACATTTCTTTTTCTTGCCTGAAGCCCTCTTCCAAAACCAGGGCTCAGACTTCCCCATTTACCCAGCTGAGGACCCTGCCTCCCAGGAAGCTTGAGTGTGGAGACAAAATACAGTTGAGCCTAAGTATCTGCAGGTTCGGAGGATTCAACCAACAGTTCATCAAAATACTATTCAGAAAAAAACCTGTGACCTCACTGACCATGTACAGACTTTTTTTTCTTGTCATTCCATCAGTCACCCTACAGGGTCTGAGGAAGTCCTGGAATTGGAGTTGGGAAACCGATTCGCCCCACCCACAGGACAGGTTGCAGGTTTGCTGACATCCATCACAGAAAAAGAATTTTCAGGATGCCTCAGTAAGAGGCATAGGAGATTTATTAGCCTCCCCCCCAAAAAAATGCAAAGAGGAGAGAGAAAGAGGGAGGTTTACTTATGGCCTTGAGCTGGGTATATTTGGGAGTGGAAATCTGTAGAACTTGTGACTCATGGAGATGGGATTCAATCTACACATAAACAGTGACAGTTCCTTCTGTAAGGGACAGTGATGGCTCATACATAGGGGACAGACACTCAGGCGACAGAGCTGTAGCCTATCCCTAGGGAAAGGCTCACTTTACCGGTGAAAAAGGAGGTCTATTCATTCACAGGTGGAAAAGGCCCATTTACAGGTAAAAGGGAAGAGCCCAGGCTTATTGTCTTTCAAAATCTCAGAAGTTTTTACTGCTTTGGGTCTTGAACCTGTAGTTTTCGTTAAAAGTACAATTTTAAATTATAATATTCCTTGTCTCCTTTCTACCTATCTTATTTTTCCTATCCTGCCTCAGGACGACAACGATTTATTTTGTATTTGCATTTATTAGGTATCACAAGTAATCTAGAGGTTAAAGTGCCCTGTGTGGGACAGGGTATGTGCAAATACTGTGTTATCTGATATACGGGACCTGGGGGTCCCCAGGGACTGTACGGGAAGAGGGAGGAGGGCAGCAGAGGGGTCCATGAGACCAAAGAATCATAATAATAATAAAGCCCACTTCAAAGCGAACCGTGGTCTACTTGGGATTTTTGGCAGACTGCGACTTAATAACACATGCACTCCGAGACGGAGGACCCGCCCTGGAAAACCAATGCATTTCTACCACTAGGTGCAAATGCACCAAATGCCTCCTGCCCTGGAGCCCTGAAAACGAGACCGTACGGCCGCTGCCCAGCTGCCAGCCCGCGAGCTCCGGGCTGGACGCGCGAGCCAGACTGGGTGACAGCTGCGCCGCGGGCGGCGATGACGTCACCGCTCGCGCTAGCATCGCGAGACTCCGTGCTCCTGCCTGGCTCCTGCCTCCCAACCCCCGCACCCTCTGCCAGGTAGCGGCGGGGATGGCGAGCCGCGGAGCCCCGGCGGTGACGAGAGCAGCTGCTCCGCCATTGGGCGACGAGGCCTGAGGGACAGGCCGGTTTGAGGAGAGACCGGAGCGGGTGGCCCCGAGAGAGGTAGGGCCATGGAGGCCAACCTGCCGAAGCGGAAGGAGCCCAGCAAGTCTCTCCGCATCAAAGTCATCTCCATGGGCAACGCCGAAGTGGGGAAAGTGAGTAGAGCGCGTCGGGAGGGGCGGGACCTCGGCGCGGCGGGACGACGAGCCCATTGGCTGAGAGGGCGGCCACTCAAGAAGCGGGGCTCGACCTCCTCCCCGCCCCTGAGCGGGCCCAGCGCTGGCCCTGGCGACGCGCTCGCTGGGTACTAGCCTGACCTTTTTGACCTTTCGGTTGCCCCCGTCCTCCACCAATGTCGTGCTCCCTAAACGGGTGAATGTACCCCAAGGAGAGTAAGGAGGCTCAGGTCCAGACTGGAGCGGGAATTAAGGTGCGTTACCCCCAGCAGTGCTGGGGCGCCCACGCAGCGGAAATGGGGAGCGCGTGAGGGTTAGGAAAATGTTGTCGGGCAGCCCGGAATCTCCATTCCCTTAACGAGAGCATAACTGAACCCGACGTGTTTCGCGGGGAGGTGGCAGGGGGACCTGGATCCAGCGTTTTATTTATTTGTTCATTTAAGATTTCTACAAGTGCCACCACATCCATCCTCTCTAAACGGCCTCGGTTCCGCCACCTCTCTCCGCCCCTTCCGTGGAGTGTCAGCTCCAGACCTCCTTGGCACCGTGGAGAGGCCAGGGGCCCGCAGGGTCCCTAGATTCCCCAGTGGGTTCTCGGACTGCCTCCTCTGGCCCATATTGTCTCTGCTGGGCACGTGGAAGGTGTTAGCCAAAAGCTGCCCAAGGTCATCGAATCAGTGACAGAGAGGACCAGAACCAGAACCTTAATCTGCCCCTGCGGTGCTCGCTGCCACCATTGAGCGTAAGAGTTAACCCTGACTCAGGTCTGAACAGGGCATCTCAGGAAGTGTTGATTAGTGGTTTGTTTTTTTTTCTATTTAGTCTGATTTTGCACTACTTATGTGTCTGTGTGGAAGGTATTAACAGACACATTTACTGAATGTCAATATTTATTGAATGGCAATTATGTGCCAAGTATCAAAAAGGAAAAAAAAGTAGGTTGTGTACTAACCTGGCTAAGTGAACATATATCACTTTTGTGATTTTGCTCTACCTAATGGTACAGGAACAGACACATCCCCAAATTAGTCAGACATTTATTTAACATTGTTCTAAGTTTATTAGCCAATGCAGTTTGAGAAAGAAAATATGTACAGTAACAACCAAAATAAAGTGCCTCAGTTTAAACTTCAGAAAAAATAAGAACCATTGGAAGAAAAATTTCAAACTTCAAAAGGAACATACAATTACAATACTTAGGCAAATAGAAAGATAACAGCACTCAATATTATACAGATCAGTTATTTAAAATAATCTACAAATGATATTCAATGCCAGTTAAAACACCAGTAAGATTTCCTTTTCAGAACTTAAGAAAAAATTACTAAAGTCCTTATGAAAAGCCAGGCATGGTGACACATGCCTGTAATCTCAGCACTCAGGAGTCTGAGGCAGGAGGATCAGAGTTCCAGGCCAGCCTGGGCTACATAACGGTTCAAGACTAGCCTGAACTATGCAGTGAGTCCCTGCCTCAATCCCTCCCCTCACCAAAAAGAAAAGTCCTTATGAAAAGTTAAAGATGAGAATGACCAAGAAACTTGTGAAAAGAGAAATGGAACTAACTCTACCAGATATTTTTAAATATTTTTAAAGTTACCAAACTTTTCCTGTTGGTTCTGGAAAGAAAATATGTAAGGGAACAGAGTAGAGTCCAGAAATAAATGAACAATAAGGAAATTCAATGTATAGCAAATATAGTAAAATCATGGAGAAATAGAGACCATTTAATGAGTACTGTTGGAATAGCTCTCTTATTTTGGGCAGGGTGGATTTCTATTGCATTTCTTTCTTAAAAATAAATTCTAAATGGATGAAAGATTTATAATTATTATTATTATTTTGTAGTACTGGGAATTGAACCCAGCTCCCTACTCACTGTTTTTTACTTTTTATTTTGAGACATGGTCTCCCGAAGACACTGTATTTCTCAGACAGGCTGAAACTTGTGATCCTTCTGTCTCAGCCTTCCAGAATGCTGGGATTACACCCATGAGTTACCATGCCCAATTTAAGCATTACTTTTTTTGGGGGGGGCGTCTGGTACTGGGGATCAAACTCAGGACCTTGCTCTTGAGAGGCAGGTGTAGCACCATTGAGCTACATCCCTGGCCCCTTAAGTGTACCTTTTTTAAAAGTTATTTTGCCTGGGCCAGGGATGTAGTTCGGTCCTGAATTTGATCCCCGGTACAAAAACAAAAACAAAAACTTATTTTGCCTTAGTTATAAAAGTAGCACATACCCACTTTAAAGAGAAAGATATAAACAATTTTAAAGTTAAAAATTAAGAAATGCCTTACTTAAATAATCTCTGGGCCAAAGATCATATCAAAACAAATGAGAATAACTGGAAAGCAATGAAAAAGAGAGAGACTCCAAAGCAAAGCCTTCAGGACAGAATGAAAGTTGTAGTCAAAGGAGACCACAGTATCTTACTCATTTTTTTTTTTTTTTGTTACCAGGAATCAAACTCGGGTCCTTGCGCTTGCGCAGCAGGCAGCGAAACCACTGAGCTAAATCCCCAGCCCCATCTTACTCATTTTTAAAGAAGAGAAATAATGACTAGAGGAACGTAATGGTTGTACAGCTTTGTGATTATACTAAAAACCACCAAAGTGTGTACTTCTAAAAGTGTAAAGTTTATATGTGAATCATCTTGCAATTAAAAAAAAACTAAATGAGCTTAAGACTTTCTTAGAAAAACACAAAATTAACTAAAACAATTTTTTAATGAAAATGAAAAGAACCTAAAATCTAAGAAAAATAGAGAAAGCAAAATAAAAAAAATTGCAAGACTAATACTGAAAAAGAGATGTAACCGCATATTGGAAGAGATGAAAGAATGATTAGAGAATATCGTATACAATTCTATGTGAAAAGTTGATAAGGAAGAGACATATAACACAGTGGAAAAATTAGCAGGGAGTATATTGGGCAAATAATACACAGAACAGCAAATCTAAATATCCATAAGTAAAAAGTATATGCAACTTTATTTGTAGTAAAATGCAAATTAAAGTAATAATGAAATTCCTTCTCACCAACCAGTTCAGCAGGCATCATTATTATTATTTTTTTTGGTACTGATGATCAAACTTGGGTCCTTGCTCTTGCGAGGCAGGCAGTGGAACCACTGAGCTGAATCCCTGGCCCCATGTCATAGATTATTATTATCCAATCATGAAAAAAGTGAAAACTGTGTCAGTTAACTTGGAGAGATCATTATAATCTATTCTTTTTTTTTTTTTTTTTGGTACCGGGGATCAAACTCAGGACCTTGCACTTGTGAGGCAGGTGCCAGAAACATTGAGCTAAATCCCCGGCCCTATAATCTATTCTTAAGAGAGAAGAACCATAAAGGATGAGTTTCAGACATTTATAGCTAAATGGATGGACCTTGAGGCATACTCTTAAGTGAAAGAAGTCGGACACAGGTGTTTAAATAGCGCATTGTTGCTTTGATGTGAGAAACCGAAAGTGGAAATAAGCACTGAGATGTATAATGGATGTTGGGAAATGGGAAGAAAGTGTTCAAATGGGAAATGAACAAGGGAGGAGGGAGAGAGAGAGGAAGGAACATGAAAAAAAGTGAAAATAGGAAAAAATGGAAACAAAGCTTTTGTACACAGGGAGAGGAGGGGGCTTGGAGGGAATGGGATAAAATAAAATGTAATAAACAACAAAAACAATAATAGT